TAGAAGGACACGCCCGACTTAACCTTAGATTCTAACCAAAAAAAACCTACAGGGCCACGACACGCGCGAGATGGAATCCCGCCGCAGCTGGAAGGGAGCCGCCCGTCGCCCGGCCAGGACAACGATGGCAGGCAGCGGGGCGAGCGCCCTCTCGCACCGTCCAGGCCAGTGACCCCTTGCTTCATGGCCACGAAATCTTCGAGCTCGAGAATCCTACTCCTCCTCCTCCTCCGCCTCCTCCTCCTCCTCCTCCTCCTCCTCCTCCTCCTCCTCGCCTCCTCCCCTCCTCCCCCTCCTCCTCCTCCTCCTCCACCACCACCACCTCCTCCTCCTCCTCCTCCTCCTCCTCCTCCTCCTCCTCCTCCTCCTCCTCCTCCTCCTATTGGGCGGCACACGGAGGGGCCCGTGGACGACGTCGAGCTCCGCAGTCGGGCACCTCTCAGGGATCGGCAGCAGCAGCACTCGAGCAACGGAGGGCCGTGACGCACGACTCGGCACACGCCTGGACCACGTGCATCGTCCTTGGCGGGATCGAGCGGAAGGCGGCCCAGAGAGCATCGCACTTAACCACAGCAAACGTGCCACATCAGTTCAAACGTCGCTCCCGTGCCCGGCGTGAGGCCAAAGGCGACAGCCACTGGCGCGTCGCAAAAATCACTCCACTTCAGGGCGGTGAAGGTGACGCTCACCCTGAGCTCATCCACGGCCGCCAGCACGAACTTGGGACCCTACCGACCCTCTTCCTGACCTGGTCGTGAGGGCGGCTGGTGACGCCACCGCTGCAGAGCGTGGCGAGACAGCCTTTTTTTGCGTTGGCGGCTAGGCAAAGGACGTCTGCGCTGGCGATGGAAGCCTAAACGGGGATGCCGTTAGAGCGAAGTGTGCCACCATGCAGGAGGAGGAGCGGGGGGAAGGCGCGCATGGCGAGACAGGCCTTGGGCGTGCTGCCGAGTGACCGTGAGGGGGCGATGCCCACGTCTCTGGCACAGTCCCCGACCTCGCCAGAGGCAACGCGGGCCTGGCAGATCGCCGACTCGCGGCGGCAGGCGGGCTACGGACCGCAGTCACAGCCTCACGCTACTAATCGGAAAAAGGCGCGGTCGCGAGTGGAATCTCCGAGAGCTGCCAGGATGTATCGGGCGCCGCGTCCGTTTCAAAGCTCTCCAGATCGCTATGAAAGCATTCCAGAACACGATGGAGCGATTTATGTTCATCACAGGCCTGCCTTACGTATGTCGATCCAGCGCCCAGGCATCCCGACGCCGTCCCCCTGGTGACCTGGCAAATCTAAAGGCTGGCGCAACCAAGGCGAAACCAGCAGCGCTGGACCCGAGCTCAAGCAAGCACGGCGGCAGCACGCCTCTCTGCACAACCGCCACGGGACCTCCATCCCCGCACGAGCGATTGGGAGGCGGCCACCCACGTCGAAGGAGACGAGGCCGTCCTTCCATCGTTGAAGTCCGGTCTCGGGGCCCAGCGCGGACACCCTCGACTGAGCACCAAGCGCCCGCATCTAGGCCAAACGATTCCAGATCTTGCGCCGAATAGAGTGCGCAGAATCAGCCGCGATTCTGGTCGGGAGCGATATTCGGACCGCCGCGCGCAACGTGGAGACTCCACTATTCAGGGCCAGCGGCCGCGCCGCGCCTGGCACGGCTCGCGAGGGGGAGGATAGGGGGAGGACGGGCGAGGGATGGAGAAGGGTACTTACAGGAAGGGGTGAGGGAGGGTAGAGGAAGGGAGCAGAGAGGGAGGAGGGACTGACGGACGGTCATGGGAACGACGGGTGAAGGAAGGGCGGAAGGAGGGATAAAGGCAGAAGGAGGAGACGGGACGGAGGCGGCGGCGAAGAGAGGAGGAGGAGCAGCAGCAGCAGCAGCAGCAGCAGCAGCAGCAGCAGCATCGGGGAAGAAACAGAAGGATGGGACGACACGAAGGCACAGAAATTCGAGCGGCAATGGCCTGCTGAAGCGGGGGCAACTCTTTGAACGTGGAGCCGACGCAGTCGTGTGGCGTTTCGCACGCCATCCTGCGCTCCTCTGCGTCTCCCTCCACCCTCTCCATCGAGCACCTCCTCGTGATATGTCCTCTTCCCCCCCTTGCCTCTTCGTGGTCCCCCTCCTCCTCCTCCTCCTCCTCCTCCTCCTCCTCCTCCTCCTCCTCCTCCTCCTCCTCCTCCTCCTCCTCCTCCTCCTCCCCTCCTCCTCCTCCCCTCCGCCTCCTCCTCCTCCTCCTCCTCCTCCTCCTCCTCCTCCTCCTCCTCGCTTCCTCCTCCTCCTCCTGCCTCCTCCTCCTTCCTCCTCGTCTTCCTCTTCCTCCTCATCCTCATCCTCCGCACCACCACCTCCTCCCCTCCTCCTCGACTTCCTCTCCCTCTCTCTCTCTCTCCTCATCTCCTCTTCCCCCTCTCTTCTCTCTCTCTCTCTCTCTCTCTCTCTCTCTCTCCTCCTCCTCCTCCTCCTCCTCCTCCTCCTCCTCCTCCTCCTCCTCCTCCTCCTCCTCCTCCTCCTCATCCTCCTCCTCCTCCTCCTCCTCCTCCCACCACCCCCACCACCACCACAACCAACACCTCCTCCTCCTCCTCCTCCTCCTCCCCTACTCCTCCTCTCCCCTCCGCATCCTCCTGCTTCCTCCTCCTCCTCATAGTCAACCTCCCATCCTCCTCCTCCTCCTCCTCCTCCTCCTCCTCCTCCTCCTCCTCCTCCTCCTCCTCCTCCTCTCCTCCTCCTCCTCTCCTCCTCCTCCTCTGTCTCCCTCTCCTCCTCCTCTCCTCCTCCCTCGCTCCGCCCTCTCCTCGTCCCTCGTCCTCGCCTCGTCCTCGTCCTCTCCGCCTGCTCGTCCTCGTCCTCACTCCTGCCGCAGCATCCTCCTCTCCCCCATCCTCCTCCTCCTCCTCCGCCTCCTCCTCCTACTCCTCCTCCTCTCGTCCTCCTCCTCTCCTCCTCCTCCTCCTCCTCCTCCTCTCCTCCTCCTCCTCCTCCGTCTTCTCCTCCTCCTCCTCCTCCCCGTCCAGCCCTCCTCCTCCACTACCACTACCACCACCACCTCCTCATCCTCCTCCTCCTGCTGATGTTCCTCCTCCTCCCCCTCCACCACTTCCTCCTCCTCCTCTTCTTTTTCATTTTTTATTATTATTATTCGTCTTCTTCTTCTTAGTATGATTATGCTCCGTATTATTAGTATTAGTATTACTATTATTCCTATCCGTCGT